ACTATTTAATATGTGTTTAATTTTAAAACCATTCAGAAATACACACATTGCATATGTACACATATATGCAAACAATATAATCATCTTTTCATATCTATTATGTTTAGGTCCTATTTTATATATGAGAGAAATAAGGCAGAAGGATATTGTTGTCAATTAACAAGGTCTGGCTTCCTATGCCTAGTAATATGTAATACAGTTTGTTCAGAAACAGTACATCCTTATCTATCTAAATAAACAATTTATTTATTTAGGATACTCACTGTCCATTGGGATTTTTGAAGGAACGGATAAATGTGTATGCTCAAGGTTCAAGTAGCATCTAGAAAATTTTCCTTTTCCTCTGTTCTTGCAATGACTCAGCTCTACTGCCTCATGTGAGAAGGACTGGTTCTGCCCTAATAATACTGAGAATAACCATTTGTGTAGGATTTTTTTAGCAAGTTGCTAATATTAATTATTACTTACATAATTAATAATTATGTAATTAATAGGAATTAATTATTATTAATTAATTACTGTTTTACATAATAATTAATAGTAATTAATTACTTATTAATTAATTACTATTGAGCAAGTGACAAGATTTACAATCACAAAGGAAATAAAGGTCTGGGCATATCAATGAGGGGTTTTCTAGGTTAGGCTCAATGAGTTGGGAAGACCCACCCTAATCATAGTTGCCACAGATTCTTTTGGCTTGGGAGTTTGAATAGAATATAAAAAAGAAAATTATCTAAGTGCTAACTCTCATCATCCTTCATTATTCCGTGTTTCCTGATTCTGGATGAAATTTAATCCTTTTCCTCAGACTCCTACAGTCTTAATTTCCTCCAAGAGAATAGTCTGTACCCTCAAAGCATGAATGAAAATACACTCATCCTTACTTAATTTGTTTTTATTAGATATTTTATTATAGCAACAAGACAAGCTAACTAATGTAGTTGCTGATTCTAAAGTATGAGGGCATGCTGGCAAGAGCAATCAACCTCCCTCGTGTATCTAATTTCACATGGGTTCAGCAGAGCCACTGATCCACAAGGAACTTTTGGTACAGATTATTGAGCTAGAACACAAAGATGTATATGTACACACTGGACTCTAGACATAAAATCTTCACCATGCCTCAGTGAGGTTGCCTCTTTGCTTTCAATACATATTACTCTTATAAATTAGTTATTTTCACATTCAATTTTAATGACTTATGTTAAAGTAACAAAACTTAAATTCCACATTAGGTTTGTGGATTTGTATTCTCCCATACTAGATGTGAAAGATGTACACCAAGGAGAGAAAAGTACAATCTTTTGGTCAATCTTCTTTCTAGTTTTCAGCATCTCCAAACTTAGAGATTGGAATAAGGTTGTTGGAGTAGAGACCATGATTCATTGAGTGTAGCATGTTTCTAAAATGCAAGAGTGAACCACAAAACTAAAGCACAAAAGACAGGGAAGAGGAAGACATTGGCTCATCACTGAGGAAAATCTTGAGGGACAGTTATTATAGGGCTTAAATTTAATTGCTAAAGCAATGGGAAACAACTTGAGAGGTTTTAGACCAGCTATTCTCAAGACTAGTAATGGCTTCTATATCTGTAAATCAGATAGGCACTGTCCAAGTCAATATTGTAATTGAGTCATTCACAGGCCTTGGAAGAATTATCCATGTGACATATTCTTCTGGAAGCAAACAATGAACAACAACAACAGAAAATGTTTTCTGCATGTTTCCCAGATAAGTACATTTCTATAGCCCACAACTCGAGCATTATGCCACTCAGTTTTAATGTTGGTACTAATCCCACTCATCTCTAAGCAATGAACCTCTAACTCTATTTGTTAAATGTGTGGTGATATCAGATTTATTTTCTATGCACAATATCCCACTTCCCCCCCAAAAAAAAGACAAAAAGAAAAAAAAAAGGAAAATGAGCCAGACATGTGGCAACAGAAGCTGATTCTGAATGATTTGAGGACATGGGGATTGTGGTTGTTTGAATGAGAAATGTATTCTATACACATAGTAATGTACAGACTCAGTCCCTATTTGGCAGTGCTGTTTGGAGAGGCTGTGGGGAGGTGCAGTCTTGCTGGCAGAAGTATCTCACCTGGGATGGGCTTTGAGCCTCATCACACTTTCAGTTCCCCCTCTGCTTCATGTGCTATTTCAGCTCTCTGCTCTTGCCATGATGCCTTCCACTTCCTGCCATGCTTCCTCATCATGAAAGGCTCTCATCCATCTGGAGGTAAGCTGAAATAAACTCTTTTTCCAACGAGTTGGTTTTGATCCTGGCATTTTATCACAGCAATAGAAAACAAATGAATACAGGGATATTACATTCCACATTTTCTGCTTTCTTTCTCTTTGATATTTGAGAGCATTAACAATTTCCCTCTATGCAGTATACACATTTATGGCTGGGTTTTACATATGTTCTCTTTCATGACAATGTGTTTTTCCTCATATATCAAAATCATCACTTGGATAACACGGTTAACAAACCACATTCTGGAGGCTAAACTTTTTTGTCAGTATGTTACATTAAAGATTACAAAGACAGGCATTTCAGAAATGAGAAAATGTTTACAATCAAAGTTCTGCAGAAAGCAATTCTAAAGCAGTTATGTTTAAGGGTACCACTATGGACCTTCACTTTATTTAAATGCATCAGGTAGGTAACTGAACGTTTTGGTCACTGCATTATTCTAAGTAGCTTTGTCTTTGCCACAGGAAATTGGTCTTGAGGGTAGAAGACGTGAAACATGAAAATCAAATGCTATGAAGGACAAGGAAGCACCAGTTCAGGGGGTGTGACTCTCAAAGGTCTTTGACGTCAGTGAGGCAGCCTGCAAATGGGATGGGAAGGAGGATTTCATTCTTTCTTGCTATGCTGGGAGGTCCCAGAAGTGTTTCAAGGGATCCAGTACAATGCCAAGATCTATCACAGTCCAAATGCTTTTCTTCACTGTGTTCTACTCACCAGTATGAGAAATTAAATAAGGAAGGCTATGCCAAGACAATGCCCAGAGGCTTTCACTAGCTAAGGAATAAGAAAACTTTTGAAATATATTACCATATACAAATTATTGATGAAATACCTTTTTGTTAAGTTAATTCCAGAAAAAAAAAAGTAACCTTTTCTCAAAAGACAGCGTGTTCCAGTGGGGCTGACAGTTCCCTGGATTCAACACTCATCCCTGCTTGTTACTGCTTTTGAAAAATTTAGTTGTAGCGGAAACATCCCCAATTGAAAGCAATCAATATAAAACCATTTTCCTCACATTGTAGAAACGGAGAAAATATTGAAATACCAGAAAATTTTCCACCAACACAGAAATCTGAAGATGACCTCTATTTGAGCCATTTTTGTTTTCCACATGAAATACTTTTTCCATTTCAGCACAGACATCTCTGGAAATCAAGACACGAGAAAGCAGTTCTGCTTTTCTCCTCCTCAAATAAAATCTTCTAAGATGCTTTACTTTGGGAAGTTATTTCACTATGCAATCTAGTGCCACCTATTCATGCACTGTTTTTACATTGGTTTGGAAAATAAAACTTAAATATTGCTATATTTAATTGTATACGTGTACCGATGAGTTCTTGTACATGAAAGTGTACGTGTGTGCATGTAGAAGTGAGAGAAAAACTTGGTTCTCTTTTCTTTAGTGGCTTTCTGCTTTGTTTTATGAGACAGTTTCTCATTGGCCTGAAATCTACAAAGTATGTGAGGGTGGTTGACTAGCAAGACCCAGGGATGCTCTGTGGTTGGCCTCCCTGGTCCTGGGAGTAGACGCATCTACCACCATGTCTTGCTTGAACTCTGATTATCATGCTTATACAGTAAATATTATACTGACAGATCTATCACTTCAGAACCTTTATCATGTGATTAACATGTATTTATATGAGATTTTTTATTTGTATGTAATATAGTAGCCTAAAAATGGAACAGAATTGATGAATAAGCAATACATTACAATTTGACCACAGAAATAGAGAAACATAGAAACTTATAAAGACGGTTAGCTCTTATAGTTTTGACATAGGTATTGTATATGCACTTTTTCAGTTAAATGTTTATTACTAAGATACTCCTGTTAAAAAGGCCTTCTGCATATGTTATGGTTATGTAACTCAGTGTTTGTGTGATACTACCAACAAGGGGGGGTTGGGGGGTTGTTTTTGACTTTTACCTGCTTTGGGGAGACTTGTCCTCCTACTGGGTTGCTTCCTCCAGCCTGAATATAAGGAGAAGTGCCTATCTCATTGCAAATTGTTGAGACCAAGATTGGAAAGAGCACAGGGACAAATAGCCAAACTAGTGGAAATACAGGAACTATGAACCAATAGCTGAGGAGCCCCCAACTGGATCAGGCCCTCTGAATACGTGAGACAGATGATTAGCTTGAATTGTTTGGGAGGCACCCAGGCAGTCAGACTGGGTCCTGTACTTAGTGCATGAGCTGGCTGTTTGGAACCTGGGGCCTATGCAGGGACACTGCTCAGCCTGGGATAAGGGGACTGGACCTGCCTGGACTGAATCTGCCAGGCTGAGCTGAATCCCCAGGGGAGTCCTTGCCCTGGAGGAGATGGGAATGGGGGGTGGGCTGGGGGAAGGGCGGGGGGGGGGGGGCAGGAAGAGGGAGGACAGGGGAATCTGTGGCTGATATGTAAAATTAAATCAAATTATCAAATTAAAAAATATTGTAAATATGTCTGAAAAGAAAAAGAAGAAGAACACTTGCCGTGCATCTGATCCAAGTTAGGTTCCCGGAACCCACATCACAATCAGCCATAATTCCCACACCAGGAGGTCCAGTGCTTTCTTGTGACATCTGCAGTCATCTATATTCATATACACATACTCACACATAAACATGTAAGTACAAAATAAAATAAAACTTTTAAAAAGCTATATGCCTCTCTTGCCAGGCATCCTCATTAGAGTGCCACCGTCTTTAAACCCCTGCGTGGCAATCCCTGATGCACCACCATAGTGCCCAGGGAAGACGGCGACCTGCAAGTCCAGGGGCACCATTGAAATTCCGAGTGATGTGCAGCTGATAAAAACTGGAGACAAAGTAGGTGCCAGTGAAGCCACACTGCTGAACATGCTGAACATCTCCCACTTCTCCTTTGGGCTGATCAGCCAGCAGGTGTTTGACAATGGCAGCATTTACAACCCGGAAGTGCTTGACATCACAGAGCAGACTCCGCACTCCCGCTTCCTGGAGGGCGTCCAAAATGTTGCCAGTGTTTGTCTGCAGATTGGTTACCCGACTGTTGCCTCGGTGGTGCACTCTGTCATCAATGAGTACAAGCGGGTTCTGGCTTTGTCTGTGGAGACTGCGTGCACCTTCCCAATTGCTGCAAAGGTCAAGGCCTTCTTGGCTGATCCATCTGCATTTGTGGCCGCCACCACTGCTGCTCCTGCTGCTGCAGCAGCCCCAGTCAAGGCTGAAGGCAAGGAAGAGTCGGAGGAATCAGATGAGGATATGGGATTTGGTCTCTGACTAATCCCCTCAAAACAACCAACTCAGCCAGCTTAATTTGAGAAACACGGAAATAAATAAAAGCTACTTCTGTTTTAAAAAACAAAACAAAAAGCTATATGTCATTTGCACCACTGGATGCCCAACATCGTGGGCTGTGTTTATTTGGCCTTCTTAGACCTTTAACCTACCTCAAAGAACAGGCAGAAACGCATGTACAAATGTCAAAATCTAAGACATAATATATAAAAATAAAGTAACATAAAAATCATACATGATGAAAATGTATTTTTAGATTAAGACGGTCTCAGGCATGAGCCCAAGCTGAACTTCTAACTTTAAAAAGGAACAAGATTTTTAAAAGATGAAAAAAAAAAAGAAGAAGAAGAAATATGTGTACACACATATTGACCTTCGAAATCTCTGAGCATCTTTAGATAATTACAAATTGAATGAGTAATTATTTATAATATAGAGCAATTGCAAAAGATGATTTCCGAAAGGCCTAAAAATATATTCATTTATTACGGAGTTTCCAATGTATTTGTAGTTTTTCAAAGTATGCGTTCATAAACCTCTCAAGTTCCTTACTCTGTTGTAGTGTCACCCTCATATTTCATTTTCATACAGATCTTCAACTCCTTTTAGTTTTATTAAGGATATGCCACTCTTGCTTATCTTTTCACAGAACTGACTTTTTACTTATTTATTATTATTTAAAATGATTTTTAAATTTAAATAAATTTTGATCACATTCTTCCCTCTTCCAGGTTCATCCAGATCTTTTCCTCCTCCCTATCTTCCCAACTTTAAGCTCTTTCTCAAAAAACAAAACAACACAAACCAATTCATCAACAAAACCCTCCAAAACTAGAAAACAAAATACAAAAACAGCTGTTACTGCTATAGTTGGCAGTTTGAACCTGGGATAGTAGGGCTAAAAATAAGATGAACTAAGGTATCATGTAATAGCCAGCTTTATTCAGGTCATCAGACAATTTATATTCTGAGGACTAAGCAGCATCATGTGAGCAAAGTTTACCTGAGTGCAAATTGTGTGCGGTTACAAGGGCAAGGCCACATGAGTTTAGGCTATATAGAGTCATGAGGACAACTCTTGTTGGAAATATCATTCTGAATAATAAAGGGTGAGATGATAGATACTCTGAAGTGCACAGATCTCTATTTACTATATCTGGGAGGGATACAAAAGCACATTTCAAGAACACATCCATGTTATAAAGAGGTTACAAGTCTCTTGTCTTATTTACTTGGAGGTTTCTCACAAGCTTTCAGAAATCCCATTACACAGATATAGACTGTCTTCTGACAACTCCCCACCCCCCCCAAAAAAAAAAAAAAACGAAACTGTAATTGTGGAGCTCATTATTTGTTCTTTGTCAACTACTCCTGAACATGAGGCCTGCCATGAAGAGGTTGATAAATTCAGTGTGATTCCATGAGACAAAATTGATTTTCCCTCTCTCTGCAGGTACACATGACAGTTCAGTTGTTAACCTTTATCTCAGTCACTAGGAATACATTCATTCATTCATTTATTAATCAATTTTAATATATAAAAATAAAATTAAAAGATAAAACAAAATCTATCTCATCAAAATTAGACAAGCGAAAGGAATAGAAGGGGAAAAAGAACCAAGAGAACCAAGAGAAGGTATGAGAATCACAGAGGACCCGGTACAGACCTGTGTAGTCCCTGTGCTTTCTCTTTTCTGCTTCAGTCTCTGTGCATTCATATGAGCTTTGCTCTGTTGATTTAAAGGGCCTTGTTTAACTCGTGTCCTTCATCCCTTCTGGCTCTTAACACTCCTCCTGTCTCTTTTTCTGCAACTCTAAGGGGAGGGATTTGATGAAGACATCCCATTTAGAGCCAAGTGTTCCAATGTCACTCTCTGAACAATGTCTGCCTGTGGGTCTCTATATTTGTTCTCATCTGCTATAGGAGAAAATTTTTCTGATGATGGTTGAACAAAGCACTGATCTATGAATATTACAGAATATCATAAAGGGTCATTTTATCACTATATTTTCTTTACTTTCAGAACATATTTTGGTTTTGTTCTATGTCCTTTGTATCTAATTCCAGGTTCTTGGTCACCCAAGTACTATCAGGTATGGTTTCTATCTCCTGGAGTGGGCCTTATGTCAGATCAGTTATTACTCCCACAAGCTTTGTGTTGCATGTCTTGCAGGTAGTACACCATTGTAGATAATGTGTTTGTGGTTGTCTTGTTGTTTATGTTACTCTTTTATGGCATACAAAATACCTTCCTGTAACAAAGACACAGGAACATAGGGTTAAAGGCTCTAAATACCTGCTCTACATCTTCATGTTCCATGAGTTGTGTACGTGTTGTCTTCAGCAATTGGATCATACTGTCAGTTTGTGATTACAACCTATATTCTTGACAACAGCCTATGTTGCTCTGGGATTCATGCGGGGCCTCTTTGGCTAACAGCTCAATTATAGGTAACCCAAACATGGTACTGATTGCTTCATTTGGTGACAAGAGACAGCCCAGTTTGGTCTCTGTCTCCCCCACTATTTGGTTATTTCGTTTAGCTCACCTTCATATGTGTATATAATTAAAGGGGTTTCTACTATTTTAGGGTGCATATTACTCTTAAAATGCCCCTTGAATTTATCTGTCTCTCACTTCTTGATCTTTTGGCTATGATCAAGTGTAGAATCCTTGATTCTTTATATTTTGATGTTTCCATTTGTTAATATTCAAATTTCTGTTGTTTCTTTCAACTTACTGTGTTTTTTGCTTTTGCTGGTTGTCCTACAACTTTGGAGTATTAATTAAGGTCTTAGCTTAAGAGTCTTTGATTTTTAGTTTCTATTTATTTTCAACCCTTTATTTGTGTAATATATGTGCCTGTTCATGAGTTTGTGTGGGTGCATGTGCATATGTGTGTGTACACATTGAGGCCAGATACCAACATCAGATATCTTCCTCAATTATTCTCCACCTTATTTTGGGAGACAGAGTTTCTTACTGCGGTCAGAACTCATTGATTGTTTAGACTGGCTAGCCAGCAACTACTGAAGAGGCCCTTGTCTTCACTCAGTACTAGGATAACAGATGTGTGCCACCATGCCCAACCTGTTTTTTATGTTGGTCTTGAGGTTCTCAAATCAGGAGTCTCTATGCTTGCATGACTAGTATTTTACCAAATGACAAATCCCTGTAGCTCTTTTTTTTTCAATGCTGCATATATAACTGTACATGTCCCTGTTGGAATCACTTTATTTGTATCCTATATTACCTGCTATGCTATTTTCTTTTTCATCTGATTCTATTGACTTTTACAAATGATTCTCTTATTTCTTTGATGACTCACACATCATTCAATAGTTTTTTATTTTTTTAATCTCTGTGCATGTATATTTTTAGTCTCTCCTCATACTGACTTCTAGTTTTATTCCATTTTCATCAGGCAGTTCAAAGAAATTATTTCAATTTTTCTTTATTTTTTTAAAAAAAATGTATGTGCCCCAGCTCCCATCCTGCCCCGGACTTCCCTTCTGGATCAGAGGTGAGTGTCGGAGCTCAGTCTAGACTCCATCCAGGGGCACCAGCCACTCTGGGAAAGACCTGCCCAACTTGGCCCCAGGTTCTGGCCACCAGGCAGGTTCCCTTCTAGCCCTACCGGGAAGGCTCCCCTTCTTGTGGCCATACAGAAATGTATATCTTTCTTTTAGGGTGTTGGATTCATTCAAGTATCTTCTGTATTGCTTAATCAGTGCTTATGAATTCCTTCACTTTGTACTTCTCATTTTTTTGTATTTCATATTAATTATGAAGTGTGACTTTACAGGATGGGACTAGTACCCTGCGTTAGCAATTATTGTGTGTCAGAGACTGAGGTATATCAGTTTCAGATCTCCTTTATTTTAGAGTTCCTGCTAAAAGAATCTGCCATGATCTTGATGTAGATTTGCTTTTGACTTGGTGATATCTCTTTCATTTTTTTAAATTTAATTTAATTTTATTTTACAATACCATTCAGTTCTACGTAACAGCCACAGATTTCCCTGTTCTCCCCCTTCCTGCCCCCTCCCCTTCCCCCCA